AATGTCAGATTACTTAAACAGAGCACTGGCAAAATGCAGCCGGGGGGAAATTCTCGCGCGCACAAGAAAAATACGACATTCACCCCTCGACCTGTTCCGGACACCACGCATGCGTAAGAGAACTCTGATTCTCTGGTTTTGCTGGTGAGTTGTAGTTGCTTACCATAAAGGGAGAGAATTAAATAAAGAATTAATTACAGATAGCTTTTTGATTACGCGCTTAGGGAAGCTTTCGCGCAATCAATAAATAGCTAAGCCTTTTCCTTCCTTACATCCTTCTAGGAAGAGGCGGTACTCTGTTTCAAGTAATCTTGCCCTCCACAGTAATAAATACCAAATCAACTGATTGTTTTCTGATTTACCTTCTCCAATTATTTGAATTGCTCACCCCAGACCCTTCCATCGGTACGGAGTATAAGTTAAACAGACAAAAAGTTCTAACTCTCTTTATTATATATTGGTTCTTCTCAGGTTGGTAGTGAACTTAATCTATTATGGTTTCCTGTTCTACGTATCAGACTTGCCTGGAAGTCCTTATCTTAACATGATTATAATATATGTTGTCATTGATACACCTGGAATATTCCTGTGTTGGGTAACAGTACAGAAGTAAGTCTAGTTCCAGTATAATGAGGTTATTAATCGTTTAAATGTGTAGCACTTTTTATTTTCATAACTTGAAACAGAGAGAAAAAACATTTCTAACTCAAATAGAGAAGTTTTCGCGCTCTTCGCACATGGGGTATACTCCGCGATGTTAGTGAATGTTAATGAATTGCGCACTCTAGTATTTAATTGTTTGTTACGTTAGTGTCTTTATATTTCCTCTATGTTCTGTTATGTTGTTTACTACGAAAGTGTCTCACGCACTGTTTTCTTTCTTGTCTGACTGTTACGTTAATGTCTCGCGCACTGTTTTCTGTGTTCTGTTTATTTGTTACGTTAGTGTCTCTCGCACTGTTTTCTCTGTTCTCTTTGTTTGTCACATTAGTGACTCACCCACTGTTTTCTTTGTGTTCTGTTTGATTGTTTCTGACGTTGTCTCGCGCACTGTTTTCTCTGTGTTCTGTTTGATTGTTACGTTAGTGTCTCAGGCACCGTTTTCTCTGTGTTATGTTTGATTGTTTGTTACATTAGTGTTTCGCGCACTGTTTTGTCTGTGTTCTGTTTGATTGTTTGTTACGTTAGTGCCTCGAGCACGGTTTTCTCTGTGTTCTGTTTAACTGTTCGCTAAGTTAATGTCTCGTGCATTGTTTTCTTTTTTGTTCTGTTTGATTGTTTGTCGCGTTAGTGTCTCTTTTACTGTTTTGTTTGAGTTCTGTTTGATTGTTTGTTACATCTGTGCCTCGCGCACTGTTTCCTCTGTGTTTTGTTTGATTATTTGTTGCGTTAGTGTCTCTTACACTGTTTCTTTGAGTTCTGTTTCATTGTTTGTAACGTTAGTGTCTCGCGCACTGTTCTTTTTAGTTCTGTTTCATTGTTTGTCACGTTAGTGTCTCGCGCATTGTTTTCTTTGAGTTCTGTTTGATTGTTCGTTACGTTAGTGTCGCGCGCACTCTTTTCTTTGTCCTGTTTGATTTTTTGTTACGTAAGTGTCTAGCGCACTGTTTTCTGTGACTTCTGTTATATTGTTACGTTAGTGTCTCGCGCACTGTTTTCTTCGAGTTCTGTTAGATTATTTGTTACGTTGGTGCCTTGCGCACTGTTTTCTGTGAGTTCTGTTGAGTTGATTGTTACGTTAAAGCCTTGCGCACTGTTTTCTGTGACTTCTGATGCATTGTTTGTTACGTTAGTGTCTTGCGCTCTGTGTTCTTTGAGCTCTGTTAGATTGTTTGTTATGTCAATGCCTTGCGAAGTGTTTTCTTTGAGTTCTGTTTGATTATTTGTTAAGTTAGTGCCTTCTGCACTGTTTTCTTTTAGTTCTGTTAGATTGTTACGTTAGTGCCTTGCACAGTTTTTTTTTAGTTCTGACAGGTTGTTTGTTATGTTAGTGTCTTGAGCACTGTTTTCTGTGAGTTCTGTTTGATTGTTTGCTACGTTAGTGTCTTGCACAGGTTTCTGTGAGTTATGTTAGATTGTTTGTTACATTAGTTTCTTGCGCACTGTTTTCTTTGAGTTCTGTTAGATTGTTTGTTACGTTAGTGCCTCGCGCACTGTTTTCTTTGAGTTCTGTTAGATTTTTTGTTACGTGAGTGCCTCGCGCACTGTTTTCTTTGAGTTCTGTTAGATTGTTTGTTACGCTAGTGCCTTGCACACTGGTTTTTTGAGTTGTTTTGGATTGTTTGTTACGTTAGTGCCTTGCGCACTGTCTTTGTTGACTTCTGTCTGGTTTTTTGTTACATTACTGCCTTACGCACTGTTTTCTGTGAGTGCTGTTAGATTGTTTGTTACGTTAGTGTCTCGCGCGCTTTTTCCTTTGAGTTCTGTTAGATTGTTTGCTACGTTAGTGCTTGCGCACTGTTTTCTGTGACCTCTGTTTGATTGTTTGTTACGTTAGTATCTTGCACACTGTTTTCTGTGAGTTTTGTTAGATTGTTTGTTTACATTAGTGCCTTGCGCACTGTTTTCTGTAAGTTCTGTTAGATTTTTTGTTACGTTAGTGTCTCGCGCGCTGTTTCCTTTGAGTTTTGTTAGATTGTTTGTTACGTTAGTGCCTTACGCACGGTTTTCTTTGAGGTCTGTTGGATTGTTTGTTATGTCAGTGCCTTGCACTGTTTTCCTTGAGTTCTGTTAAATTGTTTGGTGCGTCAGTGTCATGTGCACTGTTTTGTGTGAGTTCTGTTTGACTGTTTGCTACGTCAGTGCCTTGCGCACTGTTTTCTTTGAGTTCTGTTTGATTGTTTGTTACGTTAATGCCTCGTGCACTGTTTTCTTTGCGTTCTGTTAGATTTTTTGTTGCGTGGGTGCCTTGCGAACTGTTTTCTTTGAGTTCTCTTAAACTGTTTGTTACGTTAGTGCCTTGCGCACTGTCTTTTTGAGTTGTGTTGGAATGTTTGTTACGTTAGTGCGTTGTGCACTGTCTTTTACTTCTGTTTGATTGTTTGTTACATTACTGCCTTGCGCACTCTTTTCTGTGAGTGCTGTTAGATTGTTTGTTACGTTAGTGCCTTTCGCACTGTTTTCTCTGAGTTCTGTTAGATTGTTTGTTACGTTAGTGCCTTGCGCACTGTTTTTTTGAGTTGTGTTGGATTGTTTGTTTCGTTAGTGCCTTACGCACAGTTTTCTTTGAGTTCTGTTTAATTGTTTTGTACGTGTTCTTTGGCTTCTGTTTGATCATTTATTACATAACTGCCCCGTGCACTGTTTTCTGTGAGTGGTGTTAGTTTGTTTGTTACGTAAGTGCCTTGCGCACTGTTTTCCTTGAGTTCTGTTAGATTGTTTGTTACGTTAGTGCCTTACGCACTGTTTTCTTTGAGTTCTGTTTAATTGTTTTGTACGTTAGTGCCTTGCGCACTGTTTGCTGTGAGTTCTTTTTGATTGTTTGCTACGTTAGTGCCTTCCGCGCTGTCTTTTGTGAGTTCTGTTTGATTGTCTGCTACGTTAGTGCCTTGCGCATTGTTTTCCTTGAGTTCTGTTACATTGTTTGGTACATTAGTGCGTTTTGCACTGCTTTCTGTGAGTTTTGGTTGATTGTTCGCTATGTTAGAGCCTTGCGCACTGTTTTCTTTGAGTTCTGTTAGATTGTTTGTTATGTTAGTATCTTGCACTTTTTTCAGTGAGTTGTGTTTGATTGTTTGGTACCTTAGTGCCTTGCGCACTGTTCTCTTTGAGTTCCTTTAGATTGTTACGCTAGTGCCTTGCGAACTGTTTTCTGTGAGTTCTGTTTGATTGTTCACTAGGTTAGTGTCTTGCGCACTGTTTTCCTTGAGTTGTCTTAGATTGTTTGTTACGTTAGT